GCTTCAAACCCTCCCAAGGCAACCACCAGGTCTCGAGATGGTTGCCCACCACTTGAGGCTCGGCCCTCTGATCAGCAAAACTTGTTCAGTTATGGATAGTTTACCTCTCTTCTTGTCCAGGCACAGGGACTTGGTTCCCGACTTTGGTGTTTTATTCCTGGTATTTCCCCCGACACCAACTCAACAGATTTTATGTTCGCCTCGCCTCATTCTTTTCCTGGCTTCCCCAGACCTGGTCCTCCCCTCCGCGCTCCCACGGGGTAAGAGGAAAACTCAGACTCTATTGTCGTTTTGCAAAAAGGTGACTGCTTTATGACGTATTCTGCACAGATGCTGTGATCACCACCATCGAGGTCTAGTATGCAAATCGTTCAAATAGTCGGATCAAGTGGAGTTGTTGGACGGGGTGTGCACGGTCTCTGCTTCCAAGCAATTTTAACGCCAAGCATTTGTTTTAACAATCGACGAGGAGAAGCAACGAGCAAGCGGAAAAGGCTGACTGATCCTAGAGGCTGGAACCATTAGCTAGCGAGGCTAGCAGTAGGCAAGGGAGCCTGGTTGGTGCCGGAGGATCGTACAAAGAGCCTCTCTCGACGTTCCATTTATCTCGCTACGATGCGATGGAGACATATCCATATCCATACATAGAGTAGAATCCACTTTCCGCCCCCTGTGAATGAGCCGCAGCTTTACTATCACATCAATGGCATGGGATGAATAGGAGTCAGAGTCAGAGTCAGAGCCAGAGTCAGAGCCAAATAACTAAACTAACCGCCATGACATACATGTCTCCGCTATGGAAGAGCCCTCTCATCTCCCTTCATGAGGTTCAAAACGGCTTAACACACGAGAAGTGGACTCCTGTTGAGTAGCAATATCCCTCATCCTTATCCCTTTTCGCTCAAGGACTGCTACGTAATTGTTGCTATTCGTAAAGAATGAATGTTGAGATATTTCACGCACTGGCACTATGGAGCAGAGATGAGATGAGAATTCCACTTTATTTCTGTTGGCACAGGCGCCTCGCTCTCGCCCTCTCACCCCGCGCATCCTTCCCCTCAATATCCAACGAGTGGACGCGGAGTTGAAGGTCCAAAGTTTGAAGTGGTGGCATACAGCATCACATCGTGCCAAAAAGCCACCACACGAAATCTGAGCTCGCTTCTCCGCCACACACCAATAACATAACGGTAGTAGTCTGCGCTATTCCAAAGTAAACGGCCGCCTCACTTGCTTGGAAACTGTTCACTGCTACTGTAACCTCTTCACCGCCTCAGCCATGCATCTCTGTTCTGCGTCCTCATGAGTCGCCCGCATTGCATTTTCTTACTGTAGGTACAGAGTGGCCTACAGTACACACTACCGTACACTGCACTTCTGTACATGCTCACACATGCAGGGAGGAACCGCCCCCCGAGACAGGCGTGTCCCGCATTGTCTTGCAACATCGTGCATCTACCGTTTGTCAAATGACTGGTCGTGCTGACCTGACTTGGTCTGTCGTAAAGGGTTCCCCTCCTCGGAGGTGTTGCCCTCAGCTGCGGAGCTTATCTATCGCTTTGAGCTCTGCGCGCTGCTGTAGGGTAGTACTGTCACGAAGGTGTGCACAGTAGACAATAGGGTAACCACCACCATCAGTAACAATATTGAATATTGAGATCTCACATACCTAAACGACTTTCTGTGCTGTAACGATGGCTCGTGTCATGTGCCAGAACATATGACAAGTCTGCTCTTCCCCGGATGCCCCAGACTCCGTAACTTCCCCATCCGAGCGCTCAATGCACAGTCGGACTGACGCTCGGTCAAGAAGTGAGGCGCTAGTAGGTGTTGAAACTGCACAGTAGGTAATATCTTACCAAGTTCTAGATCTGCCCTCATCACACCCACTGACAACGGCCCGGGCCATCCTGACTCCTCACAGAGGCCGTTGCGAGTATCAGTTCAATGGCGACTGTTGTGCCACTCTAATAGCTTATCGTGAGGTGATGCTGGGGCGTCGACTGGTCGAGAGTTTTGGTGGCGGCTGATGAAACTTTCCGTGGAATGCCATTTCTCGTGTTTTCTTTGTGTTATCTCTACGTAGAAAGATAAGGGTTCTGCTTAGTCTACCTTCCTGTCGGAATGTGCATTTGGTGTCCCCAAATCCTGATTTTGATATGTTGGTGTTCAGCTGTGCAGTTCGTTTATGTTCCCCAGATTTCGGCAGTATCGGCTCATTGCTACCCCTACAGTACAAAGGACCTTAGCATATCTTTTCCCTGATTCGGCCGACAAACTGGGAAGAAGCATCCATCTCGAAGAATCCCGGTGTAGCGTTCCAGTATCTGTAAGCATGGCGTGGGTTGCACCGACACGAGGGCTAGAAACGGCTTTTGTGTCTCAGGTAACCCAATCTGCATAAGAACACTTCATCAGCGCTTTCGAAAAGGAGCGTCAGGAACGTATATAACTTTGGGTGGCACAGCATATGCACGGCAGCAGCCCCCTATAGTTTTTGACCGGTCGAGTTTCACGGCTTTTGGGATGATATGATGATTTGCTGAAGGGGAAGCTGACGCTGATTTCAAAGGATATCACCTGTTCTTTCTGGAGAGGAGCGACACATCCTACGGACTACTACCGAGAGGCGAGGGAGACCGACTTAACCCCGCTTGAAGGTGATATCATTGCTGAGGAAGTAACATGATCTTGCCACGCCGCTGTACATATCTCGGGAGTGCACGACAGTGGTTGAGGATAACAATCAAGAGGCTCGTGAATGACTACCGTGTAACAATGACTGAGAAACACCAATACTAACTGACTAATTCTAGAACGCAGTAACGTTGTCATGTCACATGAGAGAAATGTTCATCGAAAGACCGGCAACAGTACCCAGGGAGTTGTCAGTTCAAGTAACACATGGCAATACAAGCAAAAGGGCTCAGTTGTACGATCGACATAGTGTCGGTAGACTTCTGATGGGTCAGAGACGGAGATACTCAATACTATGGACTCATGATCGGCATGTGACGGATGAGAAGCTCCGGAGAACTTCCAGCCGTGAGTCACGATCAGTCACGCCGGAATGAACTGGACAAGGATCCCAAGAACGCTCCTCGAAGTAGCAAGGATAGAGCTAGTAGACCAAATAACGGGTTTCACGATACCGCGGGACGTAGGAGTGCTAAATCCATAATACTTGAATACTTGTTGAGTGCCCGAGGCGGTTTGATATTGGCCTAGGTCGTCACGGCAAAGCGGAGGATAAACAGAATAGACCTCGAACCTCTCTAATAATAGTACTGATCAACATATGGAAAGAATCGATACTAGTTTAAGGTCATATCTGAGGTAGCTAAACCGTATTGACTTCGTCTCCTCCTTCTGTAAAGCCCTCAGGGCTTGACTGCAATATAAGATTTGTTGGTTACTTTGGAAGCTTTCCGGTAGAAGCTAATATTGTGAAAGGAAGTATTATACTCTTACTATATGTGTTGAAAGATAAAAGTTAAGCCTTGGGCTAGAGAAGACTTGAATAGCTGAAAACATGTTGACGATGTCTGTCGAGGAGGGAGACCGGCTGTTCGTGATTTTATATCATGCAAGCTATATAATTGAGACCATAGTGATGCTCGAAGACCACTCATATAGCTGAACAGAACCGTAGGAAGGGCTTGACTGTGTTATGGTTCGTACCAACACAGAGAATTCATTTCTTGGACCGGTTACTTGATTTTAATTCGACGTCCTCTCAGACAGATATACAGCCAACACGCACGAGTTGGGACAACTAGCGATTCCGAGATAGGAGCTGGCCTGGAATTTAATATAAGATGATGTGATAGTATCTAGAGATTGGAGAGTCGAGCACAGTCGCGCTTGTAGTTGGTTGATGAAGCTCAAGGGCCGCTCCGCGAACAGTATCAGCCACTCTTCTTACAGTCATTCCACAAGCTTGTAAAAGACAAGAGTAATTCAAATAAAATGAAAAAGGAGAGGGGAAGTTCCATGTTCGAAATTATCATCGAGGTATGCAAGGATGTCTTTAAGGAAGTATAGCTTTGAGAGTGAGTGCCGGGAATGTAGAAGCTGTTACTCTTGATTCTGTATAGAAAGGGATGCAAGGCTAGCAGTTAACAGTATTCTACTAAATTTAGAGACAATAAGAAACACTTTATCATTATAAAACAATGTTCTTGCTTGATGGATTGCATCTGTATTGGAATTAGATGCTGACGTTGAGTATGTACTATTTTGCCTTAGCATGGCATTTGTAGTCGGCAATTCTTAGTATTTGTGGTTTCAGATTACATCTGCATATAATTTGAACCTCATAGATATACTCGTAGGGTTGTTATGCAAGAATTAAGAACCTTTGGTGTGGAAAGTCTACACATATCGCAGGCTCAGAGTCGATGCTGAGCGACGAGCGCCTCATCTTCGAGCCCAATACTTCTCCATAAGATCCTTGTATAACGTCAGCAAGTTTAAAAAGATCAAGAGAGAATGTTCAACGTAAAGTGGGTAAGTTTGAGCCTCAAGCTGAGAATGGAGATATACCTCATGGGCACCAACGGAGGTAGATAACAAGCGCGCATGACTTATTGAAGGGTCTGGCTCAAGAAAAAGGCAGAGAGCATCGACTATACATAGCACCAAGACTGCCCATGTTCGTCTCAACACGTTACCCATGTTCGGACTACGCAACCCCCAGGTCTAGGACGGGGCGGCTCGTCTGTCAAGCACGTATCGGGCGGCGCATAAGACTACGAGCTACAGGTCTACTTTAACTGATCAATACAATGAAATGATCACATTTGAAGCTAAACAATATTGAATTATGGATATCTTCTAGCTAGTACAGGCCGGGCGGGGGTATCAAGCACATCGCGCTGGCAAGCATAGGCACGAATTAAACTGTCGCACATATATACTGACTGATATTGTTATGAAATGTCAAACGAAGCGAAGCGCACTGCACTGTCAAGCATCTAGACCCTGCTTGCTTCAACACCTTACTCCTCGTGGGTAGGAGGACCAGCGTAGTTCTTGTGACCCCAGGCCCAGTACCAGATACCAGAAACCATGCACGCAAAGACGAAAACGACGGGGGCGTAGTTGACGGATTCGGGGGTAACGGGGATAGCGGAGGGCATGCAGAAGAGAGGCATGGCCAACAGGGACCAGGCTGATGACGAGTTAGCAAGACATATCACGATAGAGAGGAGAAGAGCACATACCGAGAGCGATCCAGTTGGCGACAGCACCCCACTTTCCGAGGTAGAACTGTCCAGTCTTGACCTGCTTGCGACCAGTAGCGAGACTGATAGCAATGGGAGTGGCGTAAGAAGCAGTCAAGCAGATGACACCGACACCAGAGAAAGCGTTGAAAGCAGCGTAAGAACCGAAGTAGATGACACCGAGGACGATCTCAACAACCATGCAGAGCATCATAGCGTTCAGTGGAACATCGAGAGTAGTGTTGACCTTGGACCACATCCTGGCACCGGGAATGGCACCATCACGAGCAAATGCCCAAGCGCATCGAGAACTGGCAGTTGTGCAACCGATACCGCAGATAATGGCGAGGACGATGAGAGGAATGAGAAGACCGAAGGCACCGCCGGAGCTGCCGACAGCGCTCTTGATGATGAGAGGCACGGGCTGGGCGGAGACGATGACGTCCTGGATCTCGGGCATGACGAACATGAGAGGGATGAGGAAGAGAAGACCGGCGAAGGTGTTGATGAAGATGGTGGCGACCATGGCCTTGGGGACCTGGACCTGAGGGTTCTGAACCTCCTCACACATGCTATACACATGTTAGTACAGCTGTTCTTAGGTTGGGTTAGTTGGTAGACCGTGAACTCACGAGATAATCATTCCAGTAGAAGAAGTAGCATAAGCGGCGTGAAGGAGACCGACACAGAAAGACCATCCCTTGGGCCAGCCAGAGTTGTCCTCGAAGTGTGTGAAGACCCAGTTAGCATCACGACGTCCGTTCTTAGCGATGGCAAGGATAGTAGCGATGATGGCGATAAGACCAGCAAAGGTCCAGAAGATGGCGGCGGTCTTTGAGCAAGGTATCAGCAACCATGACGTTCACAACAAGAGGAAAGGAGGGCAAGCATACATCAATCCAGGGAAGCCACTTGTTACCGAGCGCAGAGACAGCATTGCACAGGATAGTCAGTGCAAGGAAGATCAGGAAGACCTGGTAAGCCTCTCCCGACAAGACACCGACACCAGGGCTCTTCTCGAAGACATTGACACAGCCGACGATGAAGAGGGCGGTACCAAAGTTGACGGCGAGAGTGATGGTAATGTTTCCAACTAGATAGAGCCAGCCACAGATCCAGCTAGCAATGCGACGCCATCGGGGAGGAGAGAGCATAAAGGCCTGGTAGTAAACACCTGTAGTATCACGCGATCAGTTACATGTTCACATTGGGACGCAAGTGAGAGGATCTATTTTTACCTCCAGCTGTAGGATAGACACTGGTGATTTCACCGAGAGAGCAAGCAACACAGACAATGATGAGGGAGACGGCGAGCCAGCCCCAGATGACGTTGACGGGACCGCCTCCAATCAGAGGGTAAACCAGGGTGGTAGCGAGACCGTAGGGGATGGAAGCGAGGACGAAGGACATGAAGGCGACCTGGAAGGTAGAGCGGTTACGCGACAGCTCAGCCTTGTAGCCGAGGTTCTCGAGGAGCTGATCAGCGCCATCAGTGTTTCCGAGCGAGGCCTTTGAGCCTCGACGAGGCTTCTGTTCTGCGACGGGGTCCATGACTCCGGTGCTTGTGCTGGCCGAGTCGTGTTTAGACATAATCGGGAGGGAGGAGGATGAAGAACAACTACAACAATGGCAATGTTGTAGAGGGAGGGAGAGAGAGAGAGGTGAGAGGTGAGAAAGAGAGTGACACGCGATGCGAGAGGCGTGGGAATGTGAGGGGATTTAAAAAGAAAGGAATTGAATCTGGGGAAGAGTGACCATTGAAGAGATTTGGAGTACGATGTTAGGCCGAACGAAACCTAGACAAGCAAGGCATGGCATGGGAGGGAGAGAGTGGGAAAAACGCTAAATTATCTATGGGACTGTTGCTGCGGGAGTGGAGTTCTCCATGTGCGTGGATGCGTGGTGGCAATCAGTAGCCATGGGGCAGGGATGCTCAAGCCAGAGTCTGAAAGAGGAAAAGGTGAGAAACGATGGAAAGCCAAGGGTCAGGTTCTAGATACGGGCCAAGGAACAGGGGGGGTCGAGTGACTGATTGCAGTGACTGACAGCCAGACAGACAGTGACATTGTTAGTGAGTACAACTGACTCTCCTACAATGCATCCTCTCAGGCCTCTGTATTGCCAGTAAAGACGACAGCTCTCCTTAACAGCAGCTACAACGCCATCACCAAACTCTCCCACCGAGCAACCAACTCACTGATAGGCCAAGCGCGGGGCCGAAGCCAAAAAAGCGATTCATTCAACGACCGGGGAAACACGATACGATAGGCTTGAAGCAAGGCCCCTACGTCATGCTACTAACCTTTAAAGTGGGTGCACAAGACGGCCAAGCCGATACAAGGTTTCGGCGTCGACAGCTCAAACTGGAAGGAGATTAGTCCCGCCAGAGTAAAATACCGCGTTTCATAGGTCGAATCTCAGAGTGCCAATTACTGAGCCAAGCTTTCAGCCGTGGGTTCATTTGCTGACTGGTAGCTACGGTTAGCCTGTCGCCTGTTGGGCCTAGGTAGGATACTGGTGGTGGTGGTGGTGGTGGTTGGCTGGTAGGTTTCACCCGAGGACTGATACAGATATTGGCAGACATGTGCTGAGCTTTGACGGTCGAAGAGGTTGCTTGTGAAACAGGCAGATCATGCACATTCACCTTAATTCACCCATCATATCTATCAAACCCCGAATGCCGGGATCAAATAGACCACCATCCCCAATCTCCAACTTTACCTAATCAGGTGAATATCCAGTATGTGATCGTCAGGGTATCAGCTCCCGCGCCCGGCAATCCTGGCATCTAAACGTGGTTGAGGGATTGATAGCCTTGGCCTAGTCGTCACAAAGTTTGGGGTATTCAATCAATCGATCAATCAACGAGGACCGCGTTCCTATCGTATCGTAAACATCGTTAATTACCCCTCGTTTCCTTGCTTTCCTTCGCCTTATTCCTATCTAAGAAGTCCGGCGACATTTCCGTGATAGATAATGAAATACCGTCTATCTCCAGCACGCACGTGACCGGTCCGTCCAAGATAAGGAGCCGTAGAACGCTGTATATCATGATATGTACGGGTAAGATATGTATGTTGAAGCTATCGTCGCGTATCTTCAGCCCCGACCTCCGTTGTAATCAGCGCCGCCCGCCTTCCTCAACCTCACGACGATATCCGCCTCATCCAGCTCGGACCGATCGCCCGTGGTGACCGCGATGCTGTGATGCGAGAGCACCTTCTTGACGTCGCCGCTCTCGATGCTGACGCGAGCTTTCCGCATGACCTTTGTGTTCTCGCCAATCCAGACGACCAGCGCAAACTTGACGCGCTTGCTCTCCTTGTCGTTGGCGTACTCGACGCGCACGTAGCCGTACTGCACCTGGCCGTCGTCCAGCTCCTTGACCATCTCGGGCAGACCGCCTGTTCCCGTCTTGGTGAGGCTCAGCTTGTTCCCCACGGCGGACGCGTACGAGATGAGCAGCCAATTTGTCTCGTCTTTGTCTGAGCGCACGGCATCGTAGGCTGCGCTGACTTCTGGTGCGTCGAGACCCGACATTGTGATAGGTATGTTGCAGATATAGGGAGGATCGGGTCGGTGCACGCTTCGAATCAGATTGTAGAGGGTAGACTCGCGAAAGGAATAAACTGGGCCTGGGGTACGTAGTGTGAGTGAGATCAACCAACAAAAGCTCTGTATCGGAAGACGGCAGAGGAATTCCTTACCTAGAGAAAGGGTTCAACAAGCTTGGATCAGGCCTCAAAAGACAAACTCAGGAGTTCAGGGGCCTTTCTCTCTGTGCTCTGCCTCTACGATTTCTTAGCCCCCCCTGCACCAAAAAAAGCCACGGCTCTGGGAAAAGCTCGGCTATGTACGGAACACACTCCAGAAGCCCGCCGATCCATATTTTGTGCATTTGACGCTAGAAGAGAAACGGAACAACTCCGTTCTGTTGGTCTCACGCCAAGGGCTCTGGTAGTCCAGGATTCTGACACGGTTCTGGTCTGTTCCTGCAAAGAAAAAAAGGAGCTTGGCCTTGGCTCGTGATGAAATATCGTGAGGGAGACGTTGCAGCTTCAGCTCAGGGGCTGATCCGGCTCCTCTTACCGGAGACCCGTTCTTCTCGTCTACAGCAACCTCCACGATTATAATCGGTCGGAATATTAATATTTGCTTTTGTTGTACGTAAAAAGCGCGGGTTGACGACAGATTAACTTGCCTTCCTTTCCCCTCCCCCGTGGGACACTAGGAAGATTCATCTAGGCGACGATGGTAGGGCTTGGTGTGTTTTGAGGGGGTTCAAGATGATACCAGACACTTGCAGCGTTTACATAATCCTCAGATACCATTTACTCAGCTGTTTTTTTGCATAATTCCTGATGTCTCAAGCTGGCACTGCGATAATCACACAGGGAACCAATGATATACCCCCAATCAATTCTTTCAACGACGATCCAAACTGCACTGCTCAAAGAGACGGCAATAATCACTGACAGGACAGCACAATCGGGCCGAGACGGTAACATTTGCGGGGTCTGCTTACGGTGCTCCAGCGCTGTAAAAGAACTGGAAATCCACCGTCGCCCGCCGTTTCACTCGGAAAACTGAAGTGCCCTGCCTAGGGGATGCAAAAAAGACTCAGGACCTTGACCGTAAGCGATGAAAATACTCAGGCAAATCTAGCCTAAGCTTAGGGGACCTTTTCTTAGTTTATTTTGACACCCCGTATCAAGGTCTGAAGTTTTCTTACCCCCTAAGGCCCTGTAGCGACGGTGAGGGCCTTGTAAGTGGATTTCCAATGGAACGGACCAGGATTCCCATGGTCCAGTGAAATTGTTGTATAGATCTGGACTTTTGATAACTTTGCGTAATGAGAAAGAGGGAAAATGTCTCAATTAATGGGACTCGGTTCACAGAAAAAAAAAACGTCAGAAATACGGCGACGCATCGAGATCGAAATTTCACAGCCCGTAAAAAATTGAAGATCTCGGGTTTATCGGGACCTACAGAGCAAACTCAATCAGGCGCTGATCAGCTTCTGCAAGTGATTTTTTTTACTTTTTCCCTTTTGAAGAAGAATTCTAGACTTTTTCTTCTTTTTTCTTTTTACAAGGGTCTTTTTTAATATTACCTGTCATATCGAGCTTGATCCCCCGAATTTAAATAATTTACGGAAATTGAGTGACCATTAAATCCCGACTGTCCAATGATTGACCATTAGCTGCTCCGTAACTTGATATCCCGTCTTACTCGGTAGCCAGAAGAACAATAGTGTCCTTTTACTAGCAGGCTCTGGGGTGGCAATGCATCGTATGATGTGCTTGCGAACCAACTGAGCGATGGGTCTTTTGCTGTGTTGGTTCGGACGCATGAAATGAACATATGACAACGGTGAGCTGGGAAACTAGCCTGCGACGGTCTCGGAATCGGGAGGTTGCTTCCGCGTGAAGCTTGTTCGTATATTTGTTGCCACTGGTGGTATGGATGGTCGTTTGTTGGTTGACTTGTTGAAACATTCCTATCTTAATGACTGGTCTTTGACGACTTGAAGTCTTTGACTGAACCTTCAGATGCTTTCAACTTCTGTGAGTACGCGGCAATAAGCACTAAAACTAACTGCAAAGCGCTTGAATGACCCCTGAGGGCTTATGCTTGGACAATCACATGCTGGGTATTTAAGCTTAAACACATGTGCAAGGTTGACTTGCATTACTTCATCCTCGGCCCCCAAGGCCTTCAATATGCGAGCCCCGAGACCTAAGTTAGATACATTCGCATATTCTTGGCGATATGATGCATCCTGAACAGATCTCGGCATTGGAAGACTACGAAAGATGAGACAAGCTACTTTGGTAACTCCTCGCTCTTCGCCCCCTGGGGCAATGAAAGCTTTGTCAAAGTCTTCTAGAAGCCAGACAAGGGGACTTTTCTATTTTTAAAATGGAACCAAGGTCTTCCGTAGGGCGTTGAAACAAAATGACATGGTCGAAGCGTGATAAAGCTTGTGTGTAGCCCCTAATGTCTCGAGCAGAGCCTTGGGCGTTTCAGGGCACTCATTGACGCATTGGGCAATCTGGACAGAAATTGACTGTTGAAAATGTTACGGATCACTTGGATGAGCATGATCTCTGTGAGAAAGAGCTGTGTTGCGTCAAGTTGTTCTGTGCCAGGCTGCTGGTCATGCACACATATCGATTTCCAGTTGAGTATTGACATCTTTCGACTAACAGGCAAAATTTGAACTCTAAGATCTAGAGCAAACTAAGTGAGAGATGATTCGAGAAGCATACCATGGCTGAAGTAGACTTTGCAAGATAATTGCTACAAAGGGAGCAGAGATAACGTTTCGACGCTTATCGAAAGTAGTTAATCTGACCAGCTCATTAAACCATATACCACAAAGGTGTCATCTTGAGATGAGTTCATGGCTGAGAATTATTTATCACTATTTCAGAGGCTACTGGTCAGAGCCGAGCAAGATTCGTGAGACGCCCGATCTTTTGTATTTGGCACTTGCTGAAGAGTTTCAAGCCCTTCCATATCTCCCATTGGAAATCCGAGATAGCAACTAGGTATGATCCCGATCCTTTATGGCATCTGGGTGATAATAGAAGCTGAATAACAAAAATGTTGTAAAGAGACAGCTCTTGTATATCCTTTCTTGTATGTTGAGATGTGTCCGAGAGAGGACTCTTACCATCATACAACACAACGATTAAAGATGTAAACCAACCTTTCAATCGCGGAAAAACATGTGGATTTTATAAGTCTTTATCAACTTTCTGTCTTCGGTAATTGTGTTTTGAAGCCAGCCTGGAGATCTTTCAATTGCTGGGGTTCGAATTCGACCAAGACGACTGCTTCTGCTGAAGTTGATGTTGTGTCGATTCCAAAGAACACGAATCTGAGTTACAGTGAGTAGGCTATATGTATAACATGACTGCGGTGGGCTGAAAGCTAATTAGTCGCTTTAGAGAAGCTGTATCCTTTCGATATCGATGCGTAAATCAAGCAGCTCTTGCTCCCGCAATGTCCAAAACATCCAATACTTTGGAACCGACTAGAATTCCTATATATGCGGATCTTCCGTGAAAGGAGCCTTTTTTGTTTCGATGACCTTACCTCAAGTCTATAGAATTACTGTGATCAACGTGACTTAGCCGACATGCCTGCGGGCTTTATGTTACACTTGGACCTGGTTGAATTAAGCTTATTTCTTAGCCGACCAGTCTCACAGGTTTCATCTAATAGAGTTCATGTAGCGAGTTACTTCTTTGGGAAGGAGAATAAACGTTAGCATTCTTTGTAGACATGCGTGATTTATGTTCACTAAGGCAATGGCCTCCATTTGATGATGTTCAGACTGGAACGAGATACTGGGAAATTTGCTAGCCGAATCTGTCGAGGGTATATCTTAAATTTAATTATGTACAAAGAACATCATGGTACTTCTACTGGTTGACCTTAGAAACCACTGGATCTGCAGTCTTCTCTCCATGTCCTCCCTCTCGGTCACTTGCTCCATCGCCAATGCTTCCAGAGCTTTCCTCATCAGACACTCTCGAGTCGATCGTAGTCCCCTCATAACCACCCTTGACAAGCTGGGGGTTTCTACGTGCCCACCATAGCAGACCAAGCTGGACAAAAACCGAGGCGAAAGACATCGCTGTAGCCAGTGGAAATCCAATAGGATACTGTGGTGCGTCGGCAACTCTGAAAGCACGAAGTGGAATCGTTGCATGGCCGATATACACAATCATAACTGTGATCGCAACGATAATTGCTCTCGCTTCAGGCTCTTTTCGCAAAAGTTCTGCAAACCACGCCATCAGCGATGGAGCGCCAGCGTTGGCGGCATAGGTCATGAAGTAGAATGCCATAACGACCTTTTGATCTGAAGGCCAAGCACAAAGAACGCAAAGCAAGACACCAAACGAGAACGTAGATCCAGTACTGATCTGCCATCTCCAATGTTTCCAATCGGACAAGCCGTTCAGGATAAGATTGGAAACAATCTGCAGAGCATAACCTCCCAGAGGAAGGACGTTGACCTGGTATGTGCTGTACATACGATTACCAGCTTCGTCTTTGAGACTCTCGATGTAAAGGACAAAGTAGGAAGTTGCGCGATGTGCCCAAGCACTCAGAGCAAAAGCAACGAGGAAGAAGTACGTCACAGGATGAACGATCAACTTGCGCAGCTTCTGCTTCAGAACAGCTGGAGGGATAAGCTTCGACGTATTTGCGCCAAAACCCGCCATTCGTTCACGAGATAACTTCTTCTCATCCTCCGTCAACCACTTGGCACGCGTGTACGCGGGGGTATCAGGAATGATGAAGAAGCCAACAATTCCCTGGGCGATGGTGATGACGCCTGAAACGATAAACAGCCACTGCCAGCCGGCGATTCCGTGAGCACCGTTTAGGTTACGGTACAGAGCGGCTTGGAGGGCACCGAGAAACATGGCTCCCGCGACGTCGGAGACGTTGAAGCAGGCGATTCGGAAGGCGAGTTCTTTGGGGGTGTACCAGTTGAAGATGAGGGAGACGACGCTGGGCCAGAAGACGGCTGAGAAGAGGCCGAGGAAGAAGCGGAGGGCGTAGACGGTTGTTGCGTTTTGGGCTTTGCAGGTGCTGTTGTCTGTGTAAGTAAACCATGAAAGACTACTTTGGGCATAGATTCTTACACGATGACGAAGAGACCCCAAATAATCTCACAAGTTGGTAGAAACAGAGATGGACGGACCTGGAACTGATTAGCATGAGCCAAAGCACCAAGGTTGTTCAACTCACCCTCGTCTGAGCCAATTGTCCAGGAACAAGTCCAATAGCATATCCGATAGAGAAGTAGGTGTTGAAAAAGACCAACTCATTGCCGTACAGACCCAAAGCTTCTCGCATTCCTGAAACGTAAGCCTGTGTCGTTGCCGACTGATCCATCTCCTTCATGATACCAGCGATGAAAGTCCATGTCAGAAGAAGACAGTCAAGCTTGAGAATCAAGACATGTCTAGGATTGCGAAAATAAGGTATCGCTTTGGAGATATGTTTAAAGATGCCTGTTTGAGGAGGATATGTCACAGTCTCAGCTGTATCTGTCCGTTCAGCAGTGACAGTCGCCATGATCACAGCTATTTCTCAAAGAAATGAGTATATAAACTAACAACAAACAATGCGAATATCCATTCATGAAAAAGACAGCTCAGGGTTATATACCATCACGACCCTGTCTTGACCTCATCCCCAGCCCGACAAACCATGACAGAAGTGAAACTCGAGATAGGAATTTAGCGGGTCACTCCAGCATCTGCAGTTCTCGCGTCATTCGCCGCCCAAAGAACGACATTCTCCCAAACGGGCGATATCCGTCGGCCAAGCCCCGACGCTTGCAGGTTAAGCTTATATCTTTATCACCGGCGATTATGTGCTTTATTATCATGCGACCGTCTGCTCAGATCTATACCTTTTTCGCGGGAATATTTGCTGGTGGAGGCGGACCGACCGCGAATGTATCAGGCTTGACAGGGAAAATTAACGGATCTGGTAATTCTGCCGTATTGCGTGTTTATTTCTTATAAGTGGGGGGAGCATGGTGTAAGCGAAAATTATTGCCAAGAATAGGTATGTCGGTTGATATCGCAAGATTGTTCGTGGGTTGTGTAGAAAGACTTGTGTCCGAATAGCAAGCTGATAATAGCCAACTGGACACAAAGCACTTCAGGTACTTTGAGCATCGCAATACTATATCATTGGCATAGTCGATACAATTACGGTCATGGCTGCTTCAATCAGATCACCGTGATATCTAAGGGTGTTATCTTCAAGGTTGTAGGGCCTCATTAGTGGTTTTACAATAAGGCGAAGGTGTAAGTTCTTGTTGTTAGCCTGGATCTTTATGCTGCGTGGTCACGATATAAAATGAAGAGATAACCCTCGGGGTGCAAGAATGCATCAGACCTTAATATGGTGTGTTAAATAAACTCAGCAAAAGGTATTCTAAACTTATCCTAAGTTATCTATGTCTTTTTATTCCTTCCCAAGATACCTCACCACATGCCCAAGAATATTTTGAGGCCACCCAGGATGTGCACCACTCGCATCTCATAGGTAGCCTACTTACACTTTGCGACACCACTACAAAGAACCAGGCCTATAAAACCTCGCCTTTTAGAAGGTGCAGATGTAGTGTTTACGCCACAATACAGTATGACACACTGATTGCTGTACCTAGCTTCAGCTTCCCCGGGCATATGTCGTTGCAAAGCCTTCTTCCCTCTGATGCCAGCGTCTATAAAGAGCGACTCTTCCTCCTAACATATCTGTAATAAGATCCAATATCAACCAGATCTTCTGTAGGTTTGCCACTGTCAAAAGCCAAAGCGAATCCAACCTGTCAAGATACTGGTCTATCTCCGGCAAGTCTCTGCCCTATTCCTTGAGACATATGACTAACTGAGAGTAGCCACTTCAAAATGTCTTCAGAGTGGAAGTCTGATTACCACAAGGAGGATCTACCAAAAAGGTGAACAGCATGGCCCAGCATATGAGGATAACACCGCCTAGGTTACGTTCGAGGGACATGGCGATTCTGGAAGTGGCTGGAATGCTGATGAGGCCAATGGGAGCTTGTCTGACAACTCATCCTTTCCTGGATCCTCATCTTAGTTAAGGAGCTTAGAAGTCTGATGACTAACATGATCAACATTCTTGTATATATCGCTGTTATGTGTGCATCAGGAGTGAGTGTAGTGCAGTGATAAATAGACTCCATGGTTTCAGTGTCACATCACCGGAAACTGCATTCTTGTCTTGTCAGGTTTGCTTTAGCAGTACCTCAGTATTTAGCATGGCTGAGCATCTCACAGGTTACCTGCAAGGAGAGTCACATTCTTTACGTGTTTCAAGCTCCACTAGGTGTGCATGCTGACTGAGACATAAACAATACAAGAGTCAGATGAAACAGTGCACGCCTAGCACATCATTGAAAACACGCAGCTTCAAAGATGAAACTCAGCGATATGGTTGTCAAAGGCAACAGTCACGATTCCCGGCAATAATAGTTGAAAGCAAAAAGAGCGTCATTATTAGTTGACTACAGATAGGCTATTTCCCAAAACCCCGGTAGAATTGAAACTGCATTAAGTCTAACTACAAAGTCAGTGGCACAAGACAATGCCACCATTTGTATTGCGGATCTTCCCAAAGAGAAAACCAGAAAGGAAGGCAAACGTTCAAGATCAGAAACTCAAGCTGTGTGAGGTCGCTTAGAGAAGAGCGGCAACAGCAGCGAGGAGAGCAAGAGCGCTGACGGCCTGCTTGCCAGCACTGCTGACAGTGACGGGGACACAGTGGTCACCCTCGCAGCTAGAGCCGCTCTCACCCTTGGAGCCAGAGCCCTCGGAGCCGGAGCTGCCCTTGGAACCGGAACCCTCGGAGCCGGAGCTGCCCTTGGAGCCAGAGCCCTCAGAGCCAGAGCCGCCGTTGGAACCAGAGGAACCAGAGCCACCGTTGGAGCCGGATCCACCGTTGCCTCCGCTTCCACCGTTACCTCCGTTGCCGCCGTTACCACCATTGCCTCCATTGCCTCCATTGCCTCCATTGCCGCCGTTTCCTCCGTTTCCACCGTTGCCGCCATTGCCACCGTTTCCGCCGTTGCCTCCCTTGGAGCCACCACCGTTGGTAGGGCAGGTATCCTTGGTGCAGCTGGGGATCTCAGCCTCGTGGCACTCAGCGGGGGTACCCCAGGAGTTCTCCCAGGGCTTGTAGACGATATCACCGTGCTCGCAGACATCGCAGTTGGCGGGAACGAAGAAGTTGTCGTGGTTGTACCAGTCCTTGCACTCCTCAGGCTTGTAGACAGTGAGACCGTGGCAGCTGCCGTTAGAGCAGTATTTGGGGACGTATTGAGATCCCCCCTGGCAAGAGCAGGCCTCAGAGATGTAGACGAGCTCGCCGTCGCAGTCCTCACCGGGGTAACCAACGAAGATGTAGACAACCTTGGAGCCGTTGTCGTTCTCGGGGTAGCACTTGCCGTTGGAGCAGACGTAGATGGCAGTGACGGTCTGGGTCTCAGTGGCAGTGGCATCGGAGATGGTGGTGGTGAAGGTGGTGGTCAGAGTAGACTGGTCAGTGACGGTAGCAGTGAGGACATCGGTGAGGGTGACATCAGGGCCGTTGACAGCGACGTAGACAGTGAGGCGGATGGTGTTGGGGATAGCCTGGCGGGCCTGGATGCGGCTGCGGCGAGCAAGAGGAGCATCACCACCACAGAACTCAGAGTCGTCACCGGGGCACTCGATGTCACACTGGTCTGAGTCAACACGGCTGGTGTTGTCACCGTCGATCTCGTCACCGGCATAACACTCCTCGTCGTGGACACCGAAGTAAGCACGGCCCTCAGCGAGGCTGGCGCAGAGGTTGAGGTCCATGGAGCCAGAAGTCTGGAGAAGCTCGAAGGTAGGGAAGCCATCGGTGGAACCGACACAGCCGAAGAAAGCAAAGTCGCCAATGGAGCCGGGGAAGCCGGGAGCAGATGTAGCAGAAGAAGTGGGCTCAGAGGTCTCAGTACCGGTAGGCTGGATGGTCTCGCCCTCGGAGTTGGTGGTAGCACCCTCGGAGTTGGTAGCAGCAGTCTCGGTCTCAGTGCCAGTCTGGGTGCCAGTAGGGAAGACAGTCTCGCCCTCGGAGTTGGTGGTGGCACCCTCAGAGTTGGTAGCAGTCTCAGTGCCAGTAGGCTCGATGGTCTGGCCCTCGGAGTTGGTAGTAGCGCCCTCAGAGTTGGTGTTGGTAGGCTCAGCAGTGCCAGTGGTGTCAGTAGAACCGCCGTTGCCGCCACCGTTGCCGCCACCAGGGTTGCTGGAACCAGGGGGACCGACAGCAAGATCAGAGACTTCGAGACGAGAGGAGGTGGCACCACAAGACTGAACAAACTCGACGTTGGGGGAGCTACCAGAGGAAGGAGTGCTGTCAGAGCTCTTGGAGCCAGAGCCGGTGGAGAGACCCTCGGAGAAGACGCTCACACCGTCAACAGTGACATCAAGGGTGCAGTCGGTCTCAGCACGCTTCTGTGTCTCGATGAGCTCAACGAGGATCTCCCAGAGGATAATGAACAAGTTTCCTGCGGGGAAGCTGGAGAAAACGTCATCGGGAATACCAATGGAGAAGGAAGCAACGCCATTGGGTCCAGCGATCAGGGCACTATCGGTTGATTAGAGTTTGTGACTAGTACGCGGGCCGTTTGGGAGTAAACTTACATAGCGATGCTTCCATCGGCGCGAGTGACGAACGAGGCACCGGGTCCCAGGTTAGCACCGCCTAGATCGACAGGCTGAGCAGCCTCAGCAGAGCCGGTGGGAGCAACGTCTGAGGTGGTGGTAGCGGACTCAGTAGCAGGGATACTGGAGTTGGTGAACCGCTGACCCATGACGCTCGAGGCCGCAGCCAGGAGCAGACCGGTAGAGAAACGCATGATTAGGTATTTCTGTGTGAGCGAATGTATTAAAGAGTGAATGAAAGAATGTGTTCTTTGGATTGTAAACGAATGGACCTGGTCCTCGATGGGAAGATTGAGAGTGAGGATGAGATGAGAATATTCTGGACAAGAACACCAGCCTCTATATATACAGATTTTGCACATCACATAACAGTTCCCATTTGCACCATATTGACCAAGATGCTTGCCCTTGGGAATATTGGTCTCCTGCATGCAAACATTCCTCATGCACGGTTGCTAGATCCGAAAGCATGCAAGGGCGATAGCATCACTCCACCTGGTGTGGACCAAAAGAGAAAATGTCTCGCCAGCATAGGCACGATAAACCAGTCTAGACGATAGTATTCCATTCTTCAAGGTTTCTGGCTAGCTATTTGCAGACTACCGCAGGAGCTACTACTGATTTTGCTTTCGTATTTTGGAGTGTTTGCTTTTGGGTGTTGAAGATATGGGAGCGGCCCCCCTATGTCTCCCTTGATAAGGCAATTTCACCAACGAATTCCAACAACGGGTTTCTCTTGTAAATAATACCAGTTACTATGCAAAAGAATTCGAATTTTCTAAGGCGTGCCAAGCTTTTGTTGACCAGCCACGCCAAGGTTGTTATCAAACCACCATTGCAATAAAGTTA